TTCAAGTACGTTCTTACTGACCAATCATAAACTCAGTTTGTGGAAAGAGTATTTAGTATAATTCATTATTTCTTGTTTGAGAAAAGGTACACTCCTGCTGGTCTCCAGTTGTGGGGAACCCACAGCAATGTATTTTTTCTTTTGTATAACTCATCTAAAAATTATCACTAAAATAATTCATGGCAATATGAGCATGAAAATAAAATTTATATAGTAAAACAAATGCTTAAAATTGGATACCCATGATAACAATGGCTCTCAAAATAAAACAAAAAAAAAAAAGACAAAATTCACCCACGCTTATAGCAGTGCAATTTATAATAGTTAAATCTTGGAAACAACTCAAAGGCCCATCAACTGAGGAATAGATAAAAAAAGATGTGGTATTTTTATTCAACTATAAAGAAGGGCCGGGGATATAGCTCAGTGGCACAAGTGCCTACCTGGCAAGCACAAGGCCAAGTTAGATTCCTGGTTTAAAAAAAAAAAAAAATCTGGTAGAAAACTGGCCAGGTGTGGTGGCGCATGTCTGTAATCCCAGCACTCAGGAGACTGAGGCAAGATCATTGTGAGTTCGAGACCCACCTGGGCTACAAGGGAAGCTCAAGGCCAGCCTGAATTGCATAGGGAAAACCTGCCAAAAAAAAAAAAAAAGCTACCAAGAAAAACTCAAAGCTTTTATAGGTAAATGGATGCAACTAGAGACCATACTGGTAAGTGAAATCAAATCCACATGTGTAAACATCATATTGTCTCCTTACTGTAAGAACCTGAAAGAGTAAATAAAATCCAAAAGGTACAACAGATATTGTAAAGGGAAACTGCTCAGAAAGAAGAACTGGGATAAGGGAAATGAGAAAAGAAGGGAAAAATATGTATATATGTATATACAAGATAGCTAAGATAATGGTACTACTAATTTCTATTGGTTTGTTGAACAGTTAATGCTTAAAATTTTTTTGACTAATTTTACATGCTTATATCTGGTGATCTGAACAACTATTTTGAAGGCGACAATATGCAATATAACAACCATTGTTGAATTCCTATCTTCTTTTTTGAAATTCTTTATCATGTCTAATGTTATTTTTTATTCTCTTTAAAATAAAAAAATGAAAAAACAGGCAAAATTGTGTACTGGAGGTAACTTATAATTATGTTGGGATATACCCAGATACCTTTAGAGGATATGGAAAACATAATATTTGCTAAGTTAAAGTTTTCTGAGAAGAGCTGAACTCTGTAAAATATAGGAAATGTTTTTAAATATACATCATAATTACAAAATGTAACATCCAATTTGAAACTTAAGTTGGAAAGAAATAAAAATGGAGTGTACATACCAAGAATTTATGTAGAATATAGTGGGAAAATAAAAATTAACAAAAATATGTTTCAGTGCCCCACAATCACTAAAAACAAAAAAGCCAACAAAAATATGAAACCTACTAACACATAAGAAATAATTTCATTCACCTGTGGAACTATTACAGTGAACTTCCTGTGATACTTTTATTTTTTTTTATTTTTTTTTTTTCTGTGATACTTTTAAATGCTATGATAATTGCTGGAATAACTGAAGAATTTGCCACATTGCTTACCTACATAAGATCTTCCCCCAGTGCACTTTTTCTTTGACAATGACTGTGACTGATGAAAGCTTTCCTTCATTGCTTTCTTACATAGTGTAGGGTTTCTGCACAATGTTACTCCGTTTATGCCTATACAATGAACTGTGCTTAGCGAAGGCTTCTCCACATTACTTACATACAAAGGGTTTTTCTCCATTGTGACTCTTTTTATGTCTATAAAATGAACTCTTACTAGTGAAGCCTTCCCCACATTGCTTACATTCATAGGGTATCTCTCAAGTGTGATAACTTTCAAGTCTATGAAATAATCTCTTATTAGTGAAGGCTTCCCTACATAGGCTACATATATAGGGTTTCTCTATACTGTGACTCTTTTTATGTCTATAAAGTGAACTATGATTAGCAAAGGCTTCCCCACATTGCTTACATACATAGGGCTTCTCTCCAGTGTGACTTCTTTCATGTGCTTGACAATTACTGCGAATGGTAGAAGCTTTCTGACACAGCTTACATACATAGGGTTTTTCTCCAGTGTGAGACATTTCATGTGTTCGACAACTTTTGCATAGCCTAAAAGCTTTCCCACACTGCTTACATACATATGATTTTTCTCCAGTGTGAATGGTTTTATGCATACAAAATGAGCTGTTGGAAACAAATACTTTCCCACATTGCTTACATACATAGGGTTTCTCTATGGTGTGACTGTTTATGTATATAAAATGAACTGTTACTAGTGAAGGCTTGCCCACATTGCTTA